CTTCTGGAAGAACAGGGGGAGAATGGCACTCTCTATGCAAAAAAAATCTCTGGGGGTCTTATGGCGACCTCTTTCTTCAGGATTCGGACAGTTGTACATGCAGGTGGTGCCCCACTTGCTTCGAGACCTGAGCTAAGAAAAGCAGGAGAAAAGACCGAGCGCTTCCATTCTTCCTTCGGCCGCTTTCGCAAGGGCAGACCGCAGGAGGGCCTGCGCAGGCACAGGCGGAGGGCAGCCCCTCCAGGGCAACGGGCCAACTGCCGCCTCCGCCGCGTCCGGGGGGCGTGCGGGCTGGGACTCGCGGGCTGTTCCCGCTGGCCCGAGGGTGGCGGCGCGCCCCGGAAGCCGGAGGGCCGGGCGGGGGGGAGACTGAGCAGCGGGGGGCAGGAGGCGATCGGAGGCCGGAGGAAGTGGGAAGAGGGTAAGGGGAGGTCGGGCTCTGCATCCCGGTGCGGGGCTGGGGTCCCCGATCTGCGTGTGTGTGTGTGAGCCATCGGGGGCACAGTGGCCGGAGGGAGCGGGTTTGGGCAGCGGGGACGTGCGGAGGCGCCTGCTCCGGCCGGGGCTGTAGTCCGATTCGGGCACATCCGGGCAAGTAGGGACCCGGAGAGACGGAGGTGCCTCTGGGAGGCCCACTGCGCCTTTTACCCCGGGGACGCGGGTCACCGTCGCCTCTGGACACACTGAGAAAGATGCTCAGGCTGGGCTGGCCGCCCTGAAGGGCGTTCAGACCTGCCCCCAGCACAGTTTGCTGACAGTGAGATTCTTCTTGATGCAGCACGGTTGTAAAAAAACAAAACAAAAACTAGAAAAGTCTGTCTCTTTTGAAATAAACCAGGGGAAAGAAAGACAAATCTGTTTTATAATACTGTAGCTCAGGGATTTCAGAGCAGACAAGAGCTGTGCGGAGTGTTTTACGTAAACTAAAACTTCAGAGCCGTCTGACAGCAAAGCCAGCATCCGTCTCTGCACCCAGCGCACTGTGACGGGGTTTGAGGCCCTGATGAATGAGAAGGGCCTGGGAGGCCGGGATATATGGATAATCTACGTACCTTCGCTCAATTTTTTCCTTGAACCAAAAACTGCTAAAAAGGGGGGGAGGGGAGAGCCTCGTGTATGGCCATTTTCATGCGCAGTTGTCACCAAGGTCCCAGCACCTAGAAGGACCTGTGGCTGGTTTAATGACAAAGTCAGTCCTGTTTTGCATTCCCCCCACTACCACAAGCATCTTTTAACGTTTAATTAGCATAATGAATTAAAGTAATTTATTATTAAAAGTAATAAAGTAAGTTTGCACCTAGGAATGTCACCTCACATTTAGCTTTGTACAGCTTGTGTCAATAGTGAGCTTGAGACCTCGACGCCCTGGTTTCAGATGTTTCGCAATTATTTGCAAGTATTATACGTTTTCCATATTTTATGCCCTTTAAGAGACCTTTTTAAAACCCACACAGTGCAAACAAGGCCTTGAGAAAGAGGAAGCTAATTTACCGTGTGGCTCTGATGTAACCTCAAATTGCATCCTCGGTAATTAAAAAGAAATTTTGGTAATTATTTATTGTGTTACTATAAATGTGTCAAATAATTTATTGAAAAGACTGCCCAGCAAAACAGGAAGTTCTCATGTATCGGACTCTCCTGAGTAGAAAATTCCTGAAGGGTGTGTTTTAATATAGTCAAATCTCATTTTAAATATACTAAGAGAGCTTGTTATTAAAGGAATTCTCTGGGAAGGAGTTCTTTTCTAAAGCAAATATCACCTTACAGTTTATCCATTCTGTTAGTCTAGGTTTCTGTGGGCTCATTCTACCTAAAACAATCTAATTACACTGGCCTTTGACTAGAATGTGGGTTGGTGAGGTCCCTGATCAATCCTCATCAAGTGCAGTTTGCTTTGGCTGGTCCCTAGACAAGGACAGGACACACGGCTGCTGCTGACTGATGCAAACACACACCTGCGACCCAAAGGAGGAATGGTGAGAGTTCTAGTAAGTCAATGAAATATCATCATCCCTGCTCGAGTATTCTAAAAGTGTATGTTTTTAATGAGCAATTTAAGAGCATCATCTTTGATTATGGCAAAGAGCACTTTTTAGATTTGAAAGGCCTCAATTTTAATCACACTGTGGCAGTATGTAAGTGAATGAGACATTTAGTTATTTTTTCTATCAAAGAGTCAAAATCATCTGGAGAGTATGATGCTAAGCGAAATAAGCCAGTCTGAAAAAGACAAGTATCACATGATCCCACTCGTATGTGGAGTCAAAGAAACAAAATAAACTGATGCACAAAATAGATCCAGAGACACTGAAGCATGGAACAACAGCAGGGGTCCTCAAACTTTTTAAACAGGGGGCCAGTTCACTGTCCTTCAGACCGTTGGAGGGCCGGACTATAGTTTAAAAAAAAACTATGAACAAATTCCTATGCACACTGCACATATCTTATTTTGAAGTAAAAAAAACAAAACGGGAACAAATACAATATTTGTATTTGCATGTGGCCCGCGGGGCCGTAGTTTGAGGACCCCTGAACAACAGTCAAATCTCAGAGGGAAGGTGGGGGGGGGGAGGGTGGATGGGTAGGAAGAGATTCAGCAAAGAATTTATATGCATACTAGTATATGCATAACCCATGGACACAGACAATAGGGTGGTGAAGGCCTGAGCCGAGGCGAGGACAGGCTAGAAGAGGTCAATGGGGGAGGGGAGGAGGAGAAATATGTAATACTTTTAACAATAAAGATTTAATTTAGAAAAGAAAAAGAAAAAACTATCAAAATCAGATAGATTTCTAGGGGAATTTTTGGTCTCTCTCTCTCTTCCTCTTTTTAACTTAATAGTTGTTTGACAAGACAACTTCAGAATATAAGTGATGATAATTAATAGGAAGTTTTCTCTCTTACCCAGAACCCCAAGAAGCCATCCCAGTCACTTAAATTAGATTCAGAGGTTGTTATTTTTCAGAGAGTATAGCTTTATCTTCAATTCAAAAGTCTTTAGGTTAGATTTGATTGCTATATGCAACAGTGTAAGAAAAAAAAGTACATACAGTGTAGGAAAAAGTACTGGGAAAATATGCTCAACTATTAACAATGGTTATAGCCACATTATTATAATTTTTTACTATTATTAATATCAGTACTCATGTTTTTTTATACTTTTTCTGTTTTTAACTCAATGAACATTTATACATTTATAAACAGAAAAAAAAGCTTTAAAAAATATTTACAGGGGATGAGGACACATTTGTAATACCTTAAGTAATAAAAAAATATTTACAAAGCTTCATCAGAAGTGCAAGTTAGCATTGATTTCAGAGCACAGAAAAGTTATTATCCCAGAACAATGTTATAAATGACCAGCAATATATTATTATTTTGATGCCTTAAATTATTAACTCCAATATTTGAAGAAGCTAATACAAAAAGAAAAACTAAAAATTACATATGTGTATTTTTAAAATACATGGATGCTTTCAAAATGTTGTTGTTAAAAAAGGAAAGGGGAATATTTGTACGTGCTGGTATGGAGTGATCTGCAGAGTATTTTGGCACTTGAAAAAAAATGAGATGCCAGACTATAAAATTGTATGCTAGTTTTGTGGTAAAAAGGGAAAGAAATATTAATATGTTTGTGTATGCATATGTGTATTTGCTTATATTTGTGGAAAAAAAACACTGGAAGTATAAAACAAACATTTCTAAATAATTTTTAATTTAGGAGGAAGAAGACACGATAGAATAGGGATGGAAGAAGAACTCTGAATGTACCTCCTTATCTACTTCCGGCTTTGGAAATGTTCATCCTATATAATAAAAACCTAATATGCTAAGTGTCTGGTCATCCGGTCATTCGGTCATCCATTCAACGTACTAAACTAATGATATGCTAAGGCCGCTCAACCGCTTGCTATGATGTGCACTGACCACTAGGGGGCAGACACTCTGACCAGTAGGTTAGCTTGCTGCTGGGCTCTGGCCAATCTGAGCAAGAAGGGCCGGACATGCTCTGAAGCCCTCCTGCAGTCCCTCCCCAGCTGGCCAACCTCCCCTCCCTGGCCCTGATCATGCACTGGTGGGGTCCCCCGGCCTGGCCTGTGCCCTCTCACAATCCAGGATCCCTCGGGAGATGTTGGAGAGCCGGTTTCAGCCTGATCCCACAGGCCAGGCCGAGGGACCCCACTGGTGCATGAATTCGTGCACCGGGCCTCTAGTGTTGTACATAAAGTTAAATGGGAAGAAAAGAATTTTCGACAGCAAACATAAATGTCATTTTTTTTCTTTTTTATTCCTATTTTAATATGAGAAAAGGATTTGAGGCAGCTTTCATCAGAGCAGAGATATACAGGATATATGCCTTAACCACTTTTATAAATTTTTATTTTCCTGTAATTGCTAGAAAATAAAACATTTGGGAGCCTCTTGCCAGGTCAATTATGTAACTTGATGACATTGTGTATTGGCAATTATTAACTCACTCCTACATCTGAGTAGTGGCCTACGAAACAAAAGTTTGGGGATGGATTCTGCTCATGCCACTCAGAACACCACCACCATCACCTGACTTTCAGAGCTCTGAAACAGATGCACTTTTTGTAGGTGAGCATTTGATGATTTGCTGACTTATATTTGGCTTCTATGGTGAAACACAGGAGGTAAGTGTGTATGTAACTCGTCCTGCCCTGCAAACCTAAGGTCTGGCAATTCTTAATGAAGCGAATGGAATGGAAGATGTAACTAAGATTAAAATGTAACTACTTTTTGTTCCCCTTTTTTTCTCTTCAACTTCTGCTTTTGTTTGTTTTATTTAAGTGACCAAAATAACATAAAATGCCTGTAATTAAAAATATTTTAAATGTTTACATTTTTATTCTTACTACTTATCCAAGGTCTACTTACCTTTTAAAGTTCTTTAAACATATTGTGTCTTAAATATTTCCTCTATAATTCTATCTCACTTTGATAATTTCTCTTCCATTTTATATTTTGGCAATCAGAGTGAGAGCTGCATTAGTCTCTATTTCTAGTATGTAAGTCTGATATCTATCACAAAATATTAAATTTCCTGAGGTTGGGAACTATTTAAAATACTATACTATTCTATCTTCTTTCTCCTCCCTACTTTTCACTTCCCCTCCTCAGACAATAATAGGCACTAAATAATACGTTTTGAATTGAGTTTTTAATGTTTGTTTCATTATTTTTTTGTTGATTTTTAGAGAGAGAAGAAGGGAGTGGGGGAGAGAGAGAGAGAAAGAAACATCGATGTGATGTGAGAGTGAAACATTGATCGGCTACCCCTTGCATTACCTCTACTGGGGATCAAGCCTGCAACCCAGGCATGTGCCTGACTGGGAACTGAACCAGCAACCTTTAGGTGCACAAGAAGATGCCCAACCAACTGGGCCACACCAGCCAGGGCAGTTTTTAATGTTTAATCTGCAAATTGACAAGTGTATTATCCTTTCCATTGTACATCGGCATCCTTAACATTTTAATAATACATAGAAATCAGATTCCTAGCTTCTCAGACCTTACTATCCCAGAGAAGCAGTAGACAGAGAATGTTTCTTTTGATTGCTACTCTATTTAATAGAATCTATTTTTTCTTTTTAGTGTTACTCACTAAAGTAGAGCAGGTATTAATTCATCAGACAAATATGTAGTACAGTGTCACCTTCACATTAACCTATGGCATATCCCTAGATTCCTATATCCCTACCAGAGCATTTGCTTATTTCAAAATGTTCCTGATTTTAAAATGGTATCCTGCTACTTATTACATAACTTCACTTGTGACTCAATAGATTGATTAATTAAGCAAGGTGTTAATGAAATCTCCATATAGATCAGTTAAAGTTGTTTTAATTCATTCAGCAACCTCTTTTGAGTGGCTACGGTGTGCCAGGCCTGGTGCAATGTGCTGGGTATATAGTATGGAATAAAACAAGCATAACCCCACTAAGATTGGGAATAAAAGACATGTTCTCTCACTACTCCTATTCAACACCATACTGGAGGTCCTAGCCAATGCAATCAGGAAAGTAAAATAAATAAAAGGCATACACCATTGGAAAGAAAAAAATAATTTGTTATTTACAGATGACGAGATAATTCACATAGAAAATCCCAGGGATTCTATAAGAAAACTACACACTAATATGTGAGCTTAGCAAGGTCACAGGATAGATACAAAGTCAATATACAATAAATGATTGTACTTATATATACTCACAGTAAAAAACTGGAAATTGAAATGAAAAAAAGAAACAACACCCTGTCATTTACAATAGTATTAAAATCTGTGAAATACTTAGGAATAGATCCACAAAACATGTACAAGCTTGTATATTGAAAACTACGAACAGTAGGACTTTAAAAAGACCTAAATAAATGGAGAGGTGTGATGTGTTAATGGATCAGAAACCTAACCATTATTAAGCTTTAATGTTCCCCAAGTTGGTCTACAGATTAAACATAATCTTAATCAAAATCCTTTGGAAAAGAAAAGCAGGGGACGGAGGATAGTTAAAACAATGTGAAGAACAAATCTGGAGAACGCAGAGAACCTGATTTCAAGACTTAATCGCCACAGTGTGATGCTGGTACAATAGACATACAAACCAGGGGAATAGCATGAGGAGTCAGAAATAGATCCTCACATATATAGCCAATTGATTTTTCACAAAAACACTAAGGTAATTGAATGGCAAAAGAATAATATTCTCAACAAATGGTGCTGGGACAATTGGACATCCATATGCAAAAGAATAATCCTCGAGCCATACTTCATGTCATATATACAAATGGACAAAAATTAGATTATAGATTTAATGCAATGACAAAACTTCTAGACAAAAACATAGGAGAAAAATCTTTGTGTCCGGCCGCGGTGGCTCAGTGGTTGAGCATCGACCTATGAATCAGGAGGTCACAGCTCGATTCCAGGTAAGGGCACATGCCCAGGTTGCAGGCTCGATCCCCAGTGTGGGACATGCAGGGGGCAGTCAATCAATGATTCTCTCTCAGCATTGATGTTTTTATCTCTCTCCCTCCCCCTTCCTATCGGAAACAAACAAACAAAAAATCTTTGTGACCTTAGATTAGGGAAAGATTTCTTGGATCCACATCAAAAGCACAAACCACATACAAAAACCATTCATTTCTCACAACTAATCTAAGAGAAGGTATATTAGTTGAGTCCCTTTGTTGAATGTAAGAGGAGTTATCTTAAACTAGCCTGAGCTGAAAAGAAGGATTTATTATGAAGACACAGGTATGACCCACAGAACCCAAGCCCATAGCAGTTTCCCTCAGGAAAGGACTAGAACCAGGGACCAATCCAGAGGCTAAGAATGTAGGCCGGATTCTTCTTAAGAATGTGCGTTTTACTATAAAAACTCTCAATTTTCCTTTCTCCTTTGGAACATTCTGGCTATGGCCTAGTTGTGGTTCTGATTTGTGGATCCTAAGACCCTTGGCCTCCTGGTTCATTTAAGCTTGGTTGACAGGTGGCTGGCTTGGTAGGATTGAGTCCTTGGACCCACTGCCTGGTTGCCAGGAAACAAAAATGCAGAAAAGCACCCATGGTAGTTCACCAGGCAGACCCACGCATCTACACAGCTGAAAACGGTGGACATAGAATTTTTGGTCTCTCTGATTCCAAAGCCAGTTCTCCCAGTTACTTTTTCTTAAGCTCCTTTTGGCTTGGCCACATCCATGCTGAGTTTGAGCTGGGGTTGCTGCCCGAGGTGGACCGAGCTAGGAATTGCTGAGGAAGGCAGCCCCAAAATTGGATTGAGGCAGGGAAGCCTGCAGGCAGGGCTGGGGTCTGTGGCAGGTCAGGAATTGGGACACATCAGGGTGTGGTCTCTGTGGCCAAGGTCAAGACTGGACTTCAGGGAAGCTGGAGTGGCTTCACCCCGGTGGAGGCAGTGGCTGGGAGCTGCTCACAGAGAGACTTGTTTTGGTTGGAGGTGAACCTCTAGGTTTGTTTTTTGGTGAAATGCCTAACCCAAGAAATGTTCCAGTCATGTCTTAAGAGACTTAGCCCCTCCAGAGAGGGTCTGGTTTTCCTGAGTCAGTGATTTTTTTTCTCCCTCTGTCTAAGAATGCTGCCAGTTTGACTCCAAAAGAATGTTTTGCCCTTAGGGTAGATGGGGGCTCAGGTGGCTCTGGAATGAGACAGAGTCCTCTTAGCTTGGAGTTGGGAATTTTCCAGTTCTCTCCTGGTGCTGGGCTCCAGGTGGACATTTGATCTGAATCTGACACTAACTAACCCCATCAGCTCCCGTAGCCAGAGTGTCTACCAGACCAGGTATCCACGAGGAGCCTTATCTTGGGGTGGCTTGGCTGCCTACCAGGCCAGAGTTGTTTTGCAGGAGGCCCCATCCAAGCAGTAAAGAAAAGCATCTCATACTTGCCCCAGCATTTCCCAAGAACTCTGCTTAGAGCTTTTAAGGCATGTTTACAAGGATGTATTGCTCATATACTCACCTCTCCTTGGTGTTCCATGCAGAACATGTGGCCAAAGCTCAAAAAATGTGTAGCTCAAATCCGAGGTCAGTGTTTCAGTTCTGGTCCAGGTTGTGGGCTCGATCCCCAGTATGGGATGTGCAGAAGGCAGCCACTTGATGATTCTTTCTCATCATTGATGTTTCTATCTCTCTTTCCCTCTCCCTTCTCTCTCTCAAATCATTAAAAACATATTTAAAAAATGTGTAGATCAATAATAAATTAGAATTGAGAGAGCCATTGGACAGCAGTTTCCCATGCAAATTATGGGACCAGTTTATTTGGTTTGCTTTCCCAGGACTTCCCTAACTTTTCTCCC